TAGCACCAATCCATGATGAGGTTACCAACTGGCTCCAGACTGTCTAGATTCTAGACAATCAACCTTTTACATTTTTCTGCCATCTGGAGGGATCTGGGGACACTGGAGAAAAATTTTTAATAATGGAAAAGAAAAAATGACATTGTTTGTGGTGCTTGTGCCAAGTAACTTTTTTTTAATTGGTTTGGAGCCAAGAGTTTCTTGGGAAAGAGATTCTTAGATTAGGCGCAAAATTGCTACCCAAGGTTCTGCATGAGCATTAGGCGTTAAATTTTTACTATTTAAATTTTTATAAGTTTCCTTTGTGCCAGTTGTGAGAGCGACTTGTGGCAGTAGGTGAAATGAATAACTGGTACCGTACATCATTCGGTTATAATCATCCATTCATCACTGTCATACAAGATGTTTTTTTGCAAAGGGTTCAAAATTGAGAAGATGTGGACTGTACAGGTATTCCTAGAAAAAAATCTATTGAACAGCGAATCTGTCAGGTTCATTTCTGAGTCAGTCACAAGTGTACATTTGCATTTTGCATTCAGTTCTACCTGCAGTTGACCTAGGATCATGTTTCATTGCTTTTGATATCAACAGCACAGATTGGACCCTGGCTTCCCATTGGACATTATATACCCATAACTGTGAATGTATACTATACATGTAGAGAGGTACTGGGTATCCTTGACTTCCCTGCAACCCTTGAAATGTACAGGTGTTTCCGCAAACCTTGCTTTCAATTTTTTTTTTTTTCATTTTGAAGGTACTAGTACATGTACCGATACATTAATTAGAGCACTTTTTTGTTTTGTTTTGCTACTGTAATACGAATTTCCACACTCAGGAGGAAAACTATAATGCCATTCCAGGGAGAACACCATGATGCTGTATATACGGTTGCCACCTTGACTTGTGCACAAAAATCTGATGGAAGTTTTGAAGATTTTATCTCTAAAATTTCCTTTTCTTTGCTGACTTATTGTGTTAGCTTCGACAATACATGTGTACGTGTACATTTGCAGTTGAAAGTTAACACTCTGAATTGGCGTGGGAAATTTTGTGAAAAAGAATTCACTCTCACATTTACGCCTATGTCCCACCTGTATGAAAAGGTTTGAAAATGATTCTCCACTTGTGGGAAATCTGTGAAAATTTTTTTCTCACTCGAGGGAAAACCTGTGAATTCTTTGCCCACTTTTGGAAAAGTTGTTTCTGTTGTATAAAATGAAATTGATTTACCCTGGAAGAGAAAATGTGTCCAGAGAATTTTCCATTCCCAGGTTAACTTTCAATAAGCCATTTGCAAGTTAAATTGAATAAAATATGGTACACTGAGTTATTTGATTGCACACAAACGTAACAATTTTAATTCCCCAGACTAAAGACACTGTTGCTATACTTCGTGATTCGGGGCAAGCTTTCGCATAGCGACCACCATCTCTGGAATGGACTGGTTCCTTTGTGCCCTTCTTATCCATTAGGAATAGAGTAGTGTTGCAAGGCGTCTCTTATGTAACTAAGCAAATGCTTGCCCCGAATCATGAGGTATAGCAACAGGGTTTTTAGTATGGAGAATTTAAATTGTTATGTTCCTGTGGATTTAAAGAACTCAGTGTACCAGATTTTATTCAAAGGTCACTGGCAAAAGGCTTATTGCAATGTACCATACATGGCAATAAGCCAGTGAGTAAACCTTTAGCAGAAATGTTTTCAATGAGGATGTTGCATTCACAATTGAAACAGAAAAAAACAACTGAATTGAACAATGACTTCCCTGATTGGCATCCTGAAAAGCTTGGACAATTTTAAATGTTTTTAAAAGAAGTTCAAGTTTTAAAAGAATATTCTGCAACCCTAAAGGATGTCAATGAAGTTTCATACACTGATAAAGAGTTTAAAGATGTGCAGAAAGTGTGTCTTAGAATCATTCAACACATGAGCTTTTTCAGCCAACAGGCTTTGATGCCTTATCTGAAGCTCCCTCTCACTGCAATTTGGCACTGGAGATAATTCAAATAATCCACAAACGCCTCAGGTGGATTATATACAGTTACCATCACCATGGCTACATGTTGCATCCTGTGAGTCTAGCCTTTGCTACCCAGTCAGTGCCTTTGGGATCTCATTAATTAGGGCGCCTACTCTAAAAACAGCCGCCATGAAGGTCACTAAAGGTCAGCCCGGTCGTCTCAGTTGGTTGCTGAGGAAATGACTGCAAGTCACGAGAAGTCCCTGGTTATTTTGGCTTGGATTTTGAGTTTTTGTTTTTGCGTTGTTGCCATGCAACAAGACATGTGGGTGTTGCCTCCACCCAATTTGGTTCCAAACTTTTCCACAAATAGGCAGTTGAAATACAGTACACTTCCTGAACTTAAGGCTTTATTCGGACAATGACGTCAAGTTTTTGTTGACGCTGATCAGGCGAAACCCACACTTGACAATTTCAAGGCTTTAAGTCATTGAGTCATTCCACACTTACCCTGCGTGTTTAAATATGAAACTTAATTCTTCAGGAATCCTGAAAGCTGGTGGTCACTCTCAGGGTCAGCAGCCAGAAAAGAAAACATTGTGTTGAGGGAAATACATACATGTATATAAATGCAGAGATGTCAACTTTACACATGGGTGTTTTTACACATGTTCATGTAACAGTTGGTCTCAACTGTGTGGTACAACGATACGCAGTAATACCAAATTTCATTTCAAAACAAGTTTGATTAGTTGTATTACAGCTGTACAGTGTATAAACATTTTGTGAAACTATAGTAAAGTTTCAGTAATTGAGAAAATTCTGGGAACCTTCTCAACTTTTAAAAGTCAAATACACATTGTTGGGGCTAGATGAAGATTGAGGCCAAAGATCAATGTCTCTTGACTTTTTCCCTTTATTACCAAATTTGATTGGTTTCTTTTAGAACTCTTGTTCCTTGAGTACCAGTTGCATTCTCACAAAAAGTGCAGAAAGTGAAAAATTGCAATTGCTATAAGTCATGTATTTTTGCCTCTTCTGACAGTAAAATGGGTTTAATGGTTTTTAGAAAGCTTTTCAATACATGTTTTGAAGCCGGTACTTCTATGGCCAACTTGACTTTTTTCCAAGGCCAGGAATATGAATAAAATGGGAACACTAACACTAACTGATGATAGGTTTTTGTTATTTTTGTCATTTTCATCTGTTCCTACATTAAAGTAGAACTAGACAAGAGTACATGTACAGTATAGTCCATTTAATGCCTGCATTTTCACATTGATTGATGACATCTTGCTTTGCTGTCATCATAAAAATTTTCCTTAATGCAGGGAACGGCAACTATTCTATTGTTGGGACTGGTTGCTTGACCTTTGTGACCTTAATGCATGTTCACCGACAGATTATCAGTCGCTGCCATTCAATTTCCCTGCATTCATGCTACTCATATAACCTGTTCCAGTTTAAATGTACATGTACCCAGGTTTTGTAGTAACAAATACATACAAGTACATGTATGCACCCCATATGTGATGTGATCTGCAAACCCATTGGATGTTGCTGAACTTGTTTTTGAGATAATGGCAAATTAGTCTCCTAATATTTATTGAACAATTTCAGATTTATTTACCTTTTCAGTATCCAAATAATTCTTGTTTGATGAAATTACAACTTGAATTAGAAATTTATCAGTCAGTCCAATTTGTGTAATCTCAATGAAATTTTATCTCAGAACTTTAAAGCTTGATTTCTTAAAATGAGGTCAGCAGGTTTCTTATAACTTCCCGAGAGCATAACTCGAGGTATAGACAACCTAGAATGATGAATCAGACAGTTTTGAAATTCAGCACAGTGTCCTCGTTCAATTGATGAAGATTTCAAATAATTTACAAACCAGCCCAATTACAGGATGAAGTGACAATTATGAAGACAGTGCAGAAATGTTCAGTTTTGGAGGTGGGAGGAAAACCTGAGATAAATTTTCCAGGAAAACCCTCGGCAATAAAACATAAAAACAACAAATTTCATTGTGAGGTTTTTTCCAGATCACTTAACAAATGTACTGTACATGTATAAACTTGTACATGTACATGAATGGGGCATAATCAGACCAAAAGCGAAAGGATGTAGTGGTCGGTAGGTTGGTATAGGGACGAATTCTCACCACAAGTTAGTTTTTCTGGTCTGAAATGGTTGCATGGTTCAATAATATTTGCCCTATTGTGTACATGTATATGGTTGTTAAATGGAAATTTGATGTGAAGGTGCCATGCATTTTTATGAAGTAACACAGTTTAAAAAAAAAACTCTTTAAAAGCCATGATTTTAAAGGCCGTAATAATGGATGTTAAGGTCAATATCAGCATGTAAGTGATGTACATGTAGTTATCCAAGGACCCCCATCATATTCGTCAGGACACCAGGTATTAGTACATGTACATGCATACATTTGGTAAACAAGGCATAGTTGTTTTGTTGCCATATACATGTATACCTGTACTTGTCCACGTAAAGCTTCTGTTTTTCACATTTAACATGACTAGATTTTTATGTACCGGTAGAAAAGCTGACGTGATGAGTTTCCTTGACGCATGTACCCAGGACCGGTATGTGCATGCACAAGTGTGTGACATATGGTACAGAAAGTGCAATTGTCAACTGAACATACATGTACACAGAAAAAAATTGAAAAAATTGCTCAAGGGATCTCCTTTATTAAAAAGAAGGTCCACGAAGGTCCTCCATGTTCGTGTACAATGTGTTACATGTGTGTTCCTTACATACATCCTTGAAGGTTGGGGCTAAAATGACACCTCAATTCCCTAGATACAGTGTTTTCCCAAGTAGTCTTCAGAATCCTCCCAAATTCTCCATTCTGTAAGAAAACAAATGCGTTACGTGCTTAACCATTTCAAGGGGCATCATCATCACTCTACAGTGGTATAGCCTTAGAATAATTTATCTGTGTCCACCTGTAAAAGGGCCTCCTACCCCTACATGTACATTTAATCGGTCTCCCCCCGCATTCTTCCGACAGCTGAAGGTTCTCCGTTCCTGTCCGCCGGCCATGTGGACAAGAAGGCCGTGGCTGAGTTCATGCGTGAGGTTGGGCGGCACCCGGATCTTGACGAGTCGACCATCGCACAGCTGATTGCCTTGGAGGCCCAGAAGCATGAGGTGCACTCCCGCAGCTGGTACCGCGTCAACGCCTCCAGGGCCCTGCTGGGGCAGAAGAAGATCGAGCAGGAGGTGGAGCCTCGCGTTCTGGAAGTAAGAGTCGAACTTGAATCGCCACCCCTTGGGGCAAAGTTAAGGCCCAATTATTAGGGCTGGTTTATCCAATGGGCACAGTAGGCACTGTGCCAAAGGCCTACA